GAGGCGGCGGCATTGCTTGAGGTCAGGAGTTCGACAGCCTCGTGCAAGAGCAGAGACCCCATTCTACTATAATGAAAGAAATTAATTGGACCCAATGAATATTATAGAAGAAATTGCCAACGATGGGTGGCACGTTGTGCCTGTGGATCCAGCTACTCGGGAGGCTGAGGGCAGGGATTGCTTAAGCCCAAGGAGTTTGAGGTTGCTCGTGAGCTAGGCTGGAGCCACGGCCACTGTCATCTCAGGGCCTGGGCAAGAAAGCTGAGACACAATGTCTCAAAAAGCAAAGGCACAGCGAAGCGGGGGGCAAGGGGGATGAGCAGCAGGGGTTACTTGTTGCCCTGGCGTTAGAGGTGCCATTGGCGTCAGCCTAGCTCACGCAACCTCAGATTCCGTGAGTCAAGCAAGGCCTCCGCTACTCAGCCCTCCGAGGTTAGCTGGCCACTAAGCCTCGAGCCCGGGGGTGCGCCACCATGCCTGCGCTAATTCCGCTATATAGTATAGCTATAATGTGTGGGTGTGTGTGTGTGTGTGTGTGGTGAGATATACTATCTAGTATATATTTAGTTGGTCCACATAATTGGATTGTCGTGGGTGGTTTACGTAGAGACGAGTGTCTTGCTCGTGCTTCAGGCTGGTCTGGAAACTCCTGGACCCTGTGGAGCATCCACCCACGCGTTGGTTCCCAGAGTGCTAGGATTACAGATGTCAGCCACCATGCCGCCGTCTTTCAACCCTCTTAAAGATGCAGTAATACAATCCACTCTTACTATTCCAAAGCACAAAAAAGAAGGAAAATGCTCTTGAAGCTAGCATAGTAACATTGATATTAAAATTAGATAAAGATTGCATCAAAAAGGAAAATTACAGATCAATTTATGAATTTTTTTTTTTTTGAGAGCAGAGCTCGCTTTGATTGTCCAGGAGCTAGAGTGACGTGCTGTGGCGTCAGCTAGCTCACAGCAACTAAACTCCTGGGCTCAAGCATGCCTACCTGGGCCTCAGCCTCCAAGTAGCTTGGGACTACAGGCATGCACACCCACATGCTAGCTATTTTTTCTATATAAATTAGTTGGCAATTAATTTCTTCTCATTATAATAGCAGAGCGAGGGTCCGCTCTTGCACAGGCTGGTTTTGAACTCCTGACCTTGAGCAATCCGCTCGCCTCAGCCTCCCAGGGAGCTAGGATTACAGGCATGAGCCACCGTGCCCAGCCCAATTTATGAATATTGATGTGACTTCTAAATACTAGCAGAATCAATAGCACATTAAAATAAGCAAAAAACAAAACAAAAACAACCCCCCCCCAACACCATGGCCCAATGGGGTTTATTTAGGACTACCGGGACAATCAGACTATTAGAATAGGCTCAGGCAGTATTTTCTACTGGAGGTGACTTTACCCCCAGTAAGACACTAGGCAATGTCTGGAGATGTTTTAGTTGTTAACTGCTATCAGGGTGCTATGGGCATCTAGCGCGTAGAGGCCAGGAATGCTGTTAAATGTTCTACAATGCACGGGACAGCCCCTCCCCACAATAATTATCTGGCCCCAAATATAAATAGTGCCAAGGTTGAGAAACCATAGGCTTGGCTATATTGCAGTAACAACCTCCAAATCTCAAAGGCTTGCAAGAGCAAGGGTTTCACTACACGTCCATGTGGGGCTAGTGGGGATCTGTTCTATGTCATCCTCACTTGGGGGTCCAGGTTAAGGGAGGTCCCATCTCCATGCTTGTGAGATTTTCAAGGCAAGTGGAGAATACTGCACTGGCCTATAAGTTATGTCCACCATATTTCATTAGCCACCCCTAAATTCAAGGGGGAAAGGAAGCATAATCCATCATGTGCCTGGATACAGAGAACTGGAAATATTTGCTAACAGTACCAAAGACTCCAAAGGTAACAGTGGCAGCCTGGGCTGTAGGGAATCCACAGGGCCAGGAGCAGGGTGGCAAAGGGTACAGGCTGTGGTCAGACCCGGCTTAGAATCCCACACTTCCCAGCTGTGTGCCCTTGAGGAAGTTATTTAACCTCTCTATGTCTCCGTTTCTTCCTCCAAAAATGAGGAAAATATGTTAACCTTGCAAAGCTATCGTGTAATGATTTGGTGAGTTAAAACTTGTAAAGTGTTTAGAACAGTGCCTGGCACAAGAAAAGGCTCAGGACATGTTGGCAGGATGATGATGATGATGAAGAATTAGGCTAGACACCAAGCATGGAGTAGGCATTTAGGAGAGGGGTATTGTTATAACCTACACTCTGAGGAAAATGACCTGTCTAAGGTAACACAGCTGGTAGGTGCAGCATGGTGGTTAAGCTCCTAAGCTCTGGGGTCTCAGCCTTTCACATAGTAAGTACTCAATACATGTTAATTCATTAATATTTGGAGGAGGTTCAGTATGGTGAAGAACAAATTCTAATTCCTGAGTTCAAATTCTAATTCCACTACTAACCACCTGTGTGACCTTGGGCAATTTACTTAGCCTGTCTGTGCCCCAGTTTTCTCATCTATAAAATGAAGATAATAGGACACCAGCAATTATGAAGATTAGAAAATAATCTAGGCCAGGCATGGCGGCTCACACCTATAATCGTAGCACTTTGGGAGACTGAGGAGGAGGGAACTCCTGCTTGAGGTCAGGAGTTCAAGACCAGCCTGAGCAAGAGCCTCTACAAAAAAATAGAAAAATTAGCTGGGCATGGTGGCATGTGCCTGTAGTCCCAGCTACTTGGGAGGCTGAGGCAGGAGGATCGCTTGACCCCAGGAGTTGGAGGTAGCAGTGAACTATGATGATGCCACTGCACTCTTGCCTGGGTGACAGAGCAAGACTCTGTCTCAAAAAAAGAAAAGGCCCTATGACAGTCTTTGGCACATTATTAGAGCCATAGGGTTGTTAGCTGTTACATTGTATGCCACAGTTTGCTACAAGGAAGCAGTCAAAAGTAACAAAAAAACACACTTTCTCCCAGCCTAATTGAGAGGAGGAAGAGGAAAAGGAAAATGGATACAAATTTAGCAGCTTGGAAATGGAGCATGGTGGTAGAAGAAAGAAAAAACTTAGCTTTTCTTACCTGCCCCAAGGTAGTCCTGGAAACCAGTGAGAATTCCTATTTGTCCTCAGGCACTCCTGCAACATAGGCATGCAAGAGAAGGGACAGTGAGTAGAGTCACAAGGCATTATTCCTCAATCCCAGCTAAACCACCCTGCAACCCCCAGCCAGCTCCTTCCAAATCCAGCTCCCTTAGCAGGTGCAGTTTTCTGTCCTCCCAGACAGGGGCGCTCAGCCGACAGCCTCGTTCTTGGCAATAGTGACAGCCACCGTAGAAGCACAGCACAGATGCTCCTCTGTTTAGGGCAGTTCCAACTTACAATGGGTTTATCCCGAGGTAACCCCATTTTAAGTTGAGGAGCATGGTGAATTCATATCACCTTCGCACGATGGTAAAGTCGAAGAATCCCAAGTCGAACCACCATAAGCTGGGGACTGTCTGTAGTCCCCCCTTCATCTGCCAGGGAGGCGTTCCAAGACCCCCAGGGGATGCCTGAAACTGCAGCTAGTACTGAACCATATATATAGAGAGAGTATTATGTTTTTTCCTATACATGCATACCTACGATAAAGTTTAATTTATAAATTAGGCACAGTAAGCAATTAACAACTAATAATAAAATAGAACTACAACAATATACTGTAATAGAAGTTATCATGCATTGTGATCGTAACTTTTACAGTTTGAGGTGCAGCAGCAAAACTGGCTAGCAGGAATTTCTTTTTCCTTCCTTACAATTCCACAGATAGAAGATTCATTCTTACCATAAACCTTAGCAACTTCAGCATACCTTATTTTTATTCTTATTAAGTCAAGAACTTTCACCTTTTCACTTAAAGGAAGCACGTTAGGCTTCTCTTTGGCATCTCCGAATGGCCAGCATCACTCCTCTTGGGCTTTGGGGCCATTATTAAGTTAAATAAGGGTGACTTAAACACAAGTACTGCAATACCATGACAGTCGATCCAATAACTGAGAAGGCTACTAAGTGACTAACGGGCAGGGAGTGTCTACAGCGTGGGGACGCTGGACAAAGGCATTCATGACCCAGGTGAGATGGAATGGGATGGCATGAGATTTCATCACGCTACTCAGATCGGCGTGTAATTTAAAACTTATAAATGGGTTATTTCTGGAATTTTCCATTTTATATTTTTGGACCATGCTTGACTGAGGGTGACTGAAACCATGGAAAGTGAAACCAAGGATGGAGGGGTGTGGAGGGACTACTGTAATAGCCTTTTCCTAAGTATCAGATGTTGCACCAAACACTTTTCATATGTTATCTCACATTACTGTCATAATAAAGCTCCACAAAGTAGGCACTCCTATTATTCCCATTTTATATAAGAAAAATCTGAGGCCTAGAGAGGTTAAGCAACTTGCCCCACAGGCCATACCTAATATTTGTGGGACTGAGGCAGGAGTACAAGATTGAGGCATACTTAAAAATTTATAAGTAAAGCTAATGAACTATTAAATAAAATACAGCCTACTCTGCTACTTTGATAAATAAACTTTCACAATGACCTGGAAGACCACATTCAAATTTTGGGGCCTCTCAGAACTCTGCACTAGAAGGTGATAGAAAGAAGAGAGCAGGACCCCAATGCTTCCCCCTCCACTTCATATTCCTAAATTTACCTGGCAGGGGGCCTTGTGCACATGCATTCAGATGTCCTAACCTGCCTGCTCACACTGCTGTAGAGTTTCTAAATGCAAAAGATCCATCAGGTATGCAGCATAACGAATGACAAAAGAGTGGTACCAAAGCACAACGTCATCACATCCCAGAGTACCAGGGGCCACCAGAAGATCTTAAAAGCTTCCAGAAAAGCAAAGGCGGAACTCATACAAAGAATCAGGAATCAAAACGGCATTGTATTTCTCAAAGCTAGAAAAAATCAGAGCAGTATGTTCAAAATTAGGAAAGAGTTTTGATCTACAAATTACCAATTAAATATAAAGAGTAGAATAAAGACATTTTCAGTGCCACTTAATGGTAGTTTAGTAGCCAGCCACTGAGGTGGCCTCCAATTATTTCTTTTTTTTTTTTTTTTTTGAGACAAAGTCTCACTCTGTTGCCCGGGCTAGAGTGCCGTGGCATCAGCCTAGCTCACAGAAACCTCAAACTCCTGGGCTCAAGCAATCCTCCTGCCTTAGCCTCCCGAGTAGCTGGGACTACAGGTATGTGCCACCATGCCCGGCTAATTTTTTCTATTTTTGGTAGAGATGGGGGTCTAGCTCTTGCTCAGGCTGATCTCGAACTCCTGAGCTCAAATGATCCACCTGCCTCGGCCTCCCAGAGTGCAGGATTACAGGTGTGACCCCAACACCCGGCTGGCCTCCAATGATTTCTACTTCCCGGTATCTGTACCCTTACGTGTTCCCTCACACCTTGAATGTGGCTGACCTATGGAACCATGGGGTGTTATGAGATGGACAGTATGTGACTTCTAAGGCCCAGGTCAGAAAAGACATTGTGGTTTCTACCTTGCTCTCTCTTGGATCACTTGGTCTGGTGAAAGCGCCAAGCTTGCGCCAA